GATCCCCTACATGACTAGGTGACATTAGGGGTCTTAAAGACCCCTGAAGTCTCCATAAAGAGGACCTGTCACTGTGTATTGACTATCACATAGGATGCTTGTTATCCCCCTCTGTGATAGCAATAAAGTTAAGTGACAAAAAAGTTTATAAAAAAAGTAAAAAAATGAAGTCCCCTGCCCGCACATACACATGCAAACATGCGCCAGGTGTGCTTATGTGTGAAAATTATGATTGTGCATATTGCGCCGCACAAGTTACATATCACCCTGAACGTCGGAGCATGAGCAATAATTCTAGGGCCATCAGTCAATGTTAACACTAAACTTATGAGCGGTAAAAGCGTCGTCTATGGCCAATTTTGGGTATTTTGGCGATTCTGCGGGCATGCACAATTTTAAAGCTTGACATGTTTAGTGTCTATTTACCTGACATGATTCCATCTTCTATATTTTAGAAACATTTGGGTAATAATAAACGTTTCATAACATAACATAGGGAAAACAGGGTTTTTTTTCAAAATTATCAGTACTTTTTTCCCGTTATATAGTAAACAATAAAACAATCTTGTGGTGATTAAGTCCCAGCAAAAGAAAGCTCTATGCGTCCCCAAAAAATAGTATAAAAAAATTCAGTACAGCGTTAAAAGACTGAATAAATGTCAGTCGACATACTGCAGCACTGAATGCTGAAAAATGGCCTGGACAGGAAGGGGTGAAAACACCCTGGTCATCAAGTGGTTAAATATATGTTAATGTCTTCAACGTGTTAATTTGACTTCATATTTGGTAGCAATTGTTGTACAATTGTTCTTTCTTTGAGAAGTCAGGAGAAGTGAACAATCTAGGACAACATAGCTGAACTAGAAAGTGAGCTGAATTGGAGGATTTTTCCAAATCAGCTATAATGTCCTAGATTGTCACTTCTCCTGTCTTCTCCAAACTCTTCACCCTTTTGTGAATAAACCTGTTAGTGTCCAAGTGGAGGAAGAGTTTTGGAGTGGGTATCTTTCCATAAACGACTGTTTCACTTTTTCAGGCGCTCCACTGTCTGGACATCTCCACAATCCTTATATACCTGATGCCTCTTTGGTGTAGTGTTAGGCTCATATTTCAGACTTTGTACCCTTCCACATTTCTTCCATATTCTCTTCTCCCTTTCATGAAATTTTGCTCTACGGGTCAGGTCTAATTCCTATTTCCAGGCCTATTTCAGTTTCATGGTGGAGGTCAGTTTTGACCCCTCTGCTGAAAATTCTGGTGTTGATGCTGCGGAAGGTTGTCTCCATGATAACCAGAGTGCTATTACTAATAACATACAGGGTTATTCACAAAGGGTGAAGAGTTTGCAGAAGGCAGGAGAAGTGAACAATCTAGGACAACACAGCTGAACTGGAAAGTGAACTGAATTGGTCCGCGGACCAAATGGTACCGGGCCACAGTCTCAGTGCGGTCCGGTCATGCAATATATGGCAGTGCACGGTCCCGGTGTTCGAACACCGGGGCCCCACACTGCCGACGGGCTTCACAGTGAGGGGGCGGGTCCTGTGACTCACCTCCTGGCCGCGTCCATAGTAACAGGCGTAATAGGTGAAGAATTCCAACGCTTTCATTTTTTGGTGTAACTGTATTTTATTTTGAAGGCATGTTTAAATACAATTAAATTAAAATTATTAAATCAAAACAATCTAAAATATAAACAAACAATCAACGTCCCCCCTAAGCGGGCCACGGTAAAATTATCAAACGTTGACCGGTCCGCGGCGATAAAAAGGTTGGGGAGCACTGTCCTAGATTGTTCACTTCTCCTGCCTTCTCCAAACTCTTCACTCTTTTGTGAATAATCCTGTTAGTCCAGAGATGATGTGGACAAGCCTTTAACCCCAGGACCCCAGGTTGTCAGACTATTTTTGCAATTTTTCACTTTTTTTTCCTTTTTTCCTTACAGCTTTCAGCATTTGTCCTATGATAATTGCGCAACTATTAATCAAAACAACATTCCTACAAAATCTCAAAAGCAAAAGTGTATTGGGTTACAAAATAACAAATATTCGGAAATTATAAATTACATCTTTTTGCATAATGATTAAAATGGAAGGTACCTAAAACTGTAAATAAGCAACTTACACTACAAATCTGGAGGTTGGTCTCTGTCCTATGTATTTTGATAACACTCAATCCAAAATGCATGTGCTGTGTTATGTGTTGTGATAAAATGATGCATGGCAACACGTCACAACACATTGCAGCAAGTAGAGTGAATGTAGTTTTTTTGAAAGTGCAAAAAATAAAAAATTCAAGCACTTTCGTGCAATGTAACAACGCACTGCACTACATAATCACAATGTATGCCAGCACTCACATTATATTGCCCATACCAGGTCCCAGCTGGTGTTACTATGGCCTTTTAAAAAATATTTTCCATTTATGTTGCTTTTTTTATAGTACTATCAGAGGGGGCATTTTGGGAAATATTATGCATCCTCAATGTCCTCTCCTCTGCAGCCTAGCACTTATGAATGGAAAGTGAAATTTACCAAGCCCCAGCTCGCTATCCTGAAGCACCCACTCCTCCCCTCTGTTTGCCCACAGTCACTGACAGATAGAGGGGGAAGGAGAAAGGACTATCCAGTATAGGTGTGGAGGGCAGCGGGTATCAGTATATGTGGAGAGTCCAGAGGAGAGCCTGGGGGTATCCGAAGGTGCAGAGAGATGGGGGAGTGCAGCGGAGACGCAGGGGGCATAGTGGGGTTTAGAGTGCAGGCACAGAGGAAAGTGATAAGTGGCCAAATGTGCAGAACAATGGCTCATTTTTAATCAATGGCATCTCAGCCACTGAGCAGAGCAATCCATTTATTCATGTCAGGGTTTCTTATCTTTTCTCCTCCAGCGCAGTTGCAGCATGCCTTGTGCAGTGTGTCTGACACTGCCAAAGTGGGTAGTCAGCCAAACCAGGTCAGGGAACACTGAGATCAGAATGAATGTAAAAAATAGCCAGAGTCTGGTACCAGGAGATCAGTTAGCCAGATCCAGGGTCATACACAGAGATCAGGACCAAAGAGGAGACCACTTGGTAGATCTGAACACACACACACAGGTGGACACTAAATGAACAAGCTGGTGGTTTAAATAGTGAACTGGTGTTGAATCATCACTCTGAGACAGGAGTTTGTCAGAAGTTGCAGAATGATGATGTTTATGGGTTTGGTCATAAGTAAGTGCCAAAGACATATGAACAGTTTTAGACATACTGCACAAAAGCCATTCTGCAGACAACTTGATAAGGAAGAGTAAGAAACCCTGACAATTCAGCAGAGTCTGGGTGTCACTTCATTAATAAGCTCATGGTCATTTATAACATTAGGCAAAATGAAATGTAAAGGTGGGAACCTGTCTATAAGCCCCCCTCAGGCGATTGTGACAGCCTTCAGTTAATTGCTCCATTTTTATGCCAACTGTTACATCTGTGACTTTTGGGTGCTGGGGGTCAGTCAGCTGACTCCCCGGAACTTACTGGATGGGTAAGTATATGAAAATGGGGGCTCAAACTGTACAGTCATCAGTCAGTGAAGATTGCCTGCAGTGAGTTTCCCACCCTCCCACACGTCATGGCCATTTCTAGGTTTGTTGGTCACCTTTAATTATGTAATCCTTTCCCTGCCGCTGACATAAGGTATATGGCGGAACACAACTGCTTCCAGCTGGCCACGACAGTATGCCTTACATCGGTGGCTTTTACCCTTCTGCTATAAGTTCATGAACTTATATCAGAAGTGTTCTCCTGACTTTCCCCTGTAAATGAATAGCTGTCATCAGCGGCTGAAAATTCCATGGTATATGCAGTTTATAAATGAATGGGAAGCCTCTGTACTGAGTGTTTTCTATTCATTCAGTGCTGAGGCTGGGCAAAAACAGATTGAGGACTCTGTGTCCTCAATCTCTTTTCCTATTATAAAAGGGAAATATTGTGGTGTACACCGTGCACATGCGCTGCGGTGAGCTCTTTGATTTTTTTTTTGATTTTTTTTTTCAAAATAACATTAATTCAACTGTGTGGCAGCACGAAAAAGCATTGTGACACATTGATGTGAGTTTGTGATACTCTATATTAAAAATATGCCTGCATCATTTTATCACAACACAGCGCACAAACAGCACTGCAGATCAGGAGTTACCACAACACAGATTTGTTAACATAAGGCGCTTATTTACAGTTTTGTGTCCCTTTGGTTTTTTACCGTTTCACAAAAAGGCACAATTTAAAGTTTACAAATATTTGTTATTTAATAACTTAATACAGTTATATCTTTTAGATTTAGTCATAAAACTGTTTTTCATGTGCTTATTTTAGTGTGCTTTTATCAATTGAATTGTGTATTTTTATTGGTTTAATATTGATTTAATAAACATTTGTGCAATTATTGCAGGACCTACAAAATTAGTAGCACCATCTTTTTATTCTACTAGTTCTGTGCTTTCAGGAAATGTATGGCTTGGGGGGTCTTTTACAAACTCTAAAAGCAGCAGTTGAAAATGTAAAAAAAGGTGAAAAATTGCAAAAATGGTGTAGCCGGCTAAGGATAACAGTGGAACGCAGGGCTTGGCAGCGAAAGGGGGACAGTTGTAGTTAAGGTTATTTTAATGATGTTTCAGCCTGAATTGTGGTGACTGGGCTGGGTTTTTTTTGTAGTTTATTTAAGTATTGAAAATGTTCAAGTTTTATTGTTATATGTTTATTATAATATTTAACAAAACCAGTAATAACGGGTAGTGACCAATTTTTATCCACTATTGGTTATCAGTATTTATTTATTTATTGTATGTTTATATATTTGATCCCATGCAGTCTGCAATCCCGTGCAGCCAACTTGAGGCATACAAACCACACACATAGCGTTTCACCTGATGCCTTACTTTGGTGGCAGCGAGAGGATTATATCATCCTCGTATAACTCAAAGTTTATGCTGCCACCTACTGATAACATGAAGAAGGGATATACTAGTTATTGTTGAAGGAAAGATATATTTTCCATCACTGTGTATCTTGCACAGTAATACACGGCAGTGTCTTCAGTTTTCATGTTGTCCATTTTCAGAGACACCTTGTTATTGCTGTCATCTCTAGTGACTGTGAATCTTCCTTTAACATCATCATTATATTGTATGCTAGTGCTGTATATATAACACAACCATTGTAGCTTTCCATCAGAGAACTGTCTGATCCAGTGCATAGTATAGCCACCAAAGTTGTACCCCGAACCTGTACAGGTCAGTGTGTGGGAGTTCCCCGGCTTTATCACCGCTGGGTCGGATTGGGTCAGTTGAGGATCACACTTTACACCTAAAGTATACAAATCAGACAATGACATTTACATGTATATATTACTGGAAATACAATAGTCACTTCATTTAAAATATCCATATGTTTTTACTTCAGGAAAAGTCTGCTATGACCGCTCACCTGATAGCCATGCCAGTGATAGGAATAGTCCCAGTAAAGTCTTCATTTTATCACTTCTGGTACTCAGTTCTAAATCTCAGTCTATGTGGAGATTTCTGATCTTTGAATGATCTGCTCTGTCCTTATGTAGAATAGATGCATTCACAAAAAGAAAATGATGTCAATGAATTTGCATAGAATGACACATATTTACATATGTAACTTTTATTACTAATACATGAAGTTAGATGATGGGAGTAGAAGGAAATGATCATTTTGCAGATTACATTAGATTTGTTATTATATTTGAATATATGCCCAGGATTAATCTAGATACTACAAAGCAATCAGTAAAGTGTAACTGAAGCCAAAATCTTTTTCATTCTTAGATAAAGTGGAGAGGGATTAGAACCCATGTCAGGTTTTTATTGCTGTTACCTTTAGGGAGATTCACTCTCTCTCTCTCTCTCTGTCCTGCTGTCTGCTATCACTATCCAAAAACGTAAATATACCTAAATTGTACTTTAGATATACAATGAACATAATGACATGTATTTACACGGAGGCTCTTTATTTAATCCATATGTAAACATTTTCAATATTGAAGAGAAAATTAGGGAGATTCACCCCTTCTTTGTCCTGGTGACCAGTATCACTGAAAGTGAAAGAAAATCCCATAATTTGGGTTGTCACAAGAACAGGAATAGATAATGGGAAATCTTCACATGGGGTGACCTCTTTGGAGGTTTTTTCTCTCACTGCCTTTGAAGACATACCGGTAGTTATTATTTTGTAAAAGTAGTGGTGACATCATAATTGTGCTGTGCATAGTCTGTGCAGAGAGCAGAGCAGCGGGAGGGGCCTACCAGGCTCCAACTACCTAAGGCTACCTGCAGAAAACTGCAAGAGTGGGCGGACACAAGACCAGTCACCCTGCATAAGGATAGAGAGCAGCATAAAGCTCCTACACAGAGGCAAAGTGTACACATCTGGAAGAAATACACAAAGCACACCAAGATTCAAATAAGAATACACATGAGCCTTGAATAAATACAATATATGCTCTAAGCTAGTCATACACTTATAGATTTTCTGCAGATTTGCTATGGTCAGATGGAAAAAGTGCAACAGATTCCTGAATCTATGCTAAACTGTGTGGATGGAGGAATCTCCCGCTGGGCCAAGCTTTAGGATCTTGCTAGTCGGCCCCGCTGGCTTTTAAAACACCTGAACAATGCCTGGATCCAATCAGATTGGTCAGGTATTTTGAGAGCCAGCGGGGCCGCCTAGCAAGATACTGAAGCTTGGCTCAGTGCGAAATTCCTCCATCCACACAATTTAGCGTAGATGGAGGAATCTGTAGCACTTTTTCCATCTGACCATAGAAAATCTGCACATAATCTATAGGTGTATGGTCAGCTTAACTCAGAGTTCAGCTTTAACTGTAATGTGGCCATGCCAAATTATCTCTCATCAGTAGTGCTTTAAATAGAATGAACATTATGACTCAACATTCCAGCACTTAAAAACCAAAACCTCTCTTTTTAGGTGAAGGTTTAAAATATCTGTCAATTTGATCTTCCTTAATAGTCTATGCCTTACAAAGACATTCCCTCACTTCCTATATAGTCATGGAGACAAAAGCGAAAACCTCTACAGTGGGGCACAGATTTAAATAAAGATATTTTTTTTCATAGATTGGGGAAGGTTTGTACCCCTATCAATTTTGTATTGCTGTCCGTGTCCCCATATGAGACATTCCATTCACATAGAGGAAAAATAAAGAAAATGTACAATAATGTGGTTTCATAAATATGCACACCCTTAATCTAATACTTTGTTGAAGCACCTTTTCATCTTATGCCAGCATTCAGTCTTTTGGGGTTGGGAGGGGGGTAGGCACATCTTGCCTTGGGAATCTTTGCCAGCTCTTCCACGAAAAAGCACTCAATATTGTGAGGGCATCTCCTGTGCACAGCCCTCTTCAAGTCACCCCACAGATTTTCAATAGGATTTAGGTCTGTGCTCTAACTTGGCCATTTCAAAATGCTGATCTTCTTCTGGTGAAGCCATTCTTTTGTTGATAGGCTTTGGGTCATTGTCATGATGAAAGGTGCAATTCCTTCTTTCATCTACACCTTTTTAGCAGAGGCCTGAAGGTTTTGAGACAAAATTGACTGACATTTGGGAGTTTTTATAAGTCCTTCCACCTTGACTTAAGCCCCCAGTTCCAGCTGAATAAAAACAGCCCAAGAGTATAATGCTGCCACCACAATGCTTCACTGTGCTTATGATGTTCTTTTGGTAATGCGTAGTGTTATTTTTGCACCAAACATATTTTTTTGTAATTATGAGCAAAAAGTTCAATCTTGGTCTCATAAAACCATAACACATTTTCCCACATGCTTTTGTCAGACTTGATGTACGCTTTTGCAAAATGTAACTGGGCTTGGGTGTTTTTCCTTGGTAAGTAAAGGCTTCTTTCTTGCCACCCTTCCCCACACAACAACACTGCAAATCAACCAAAAGAACAAGAAAAAGGGCATTTTAGAAGAGGGAGTTTTTAACCTCACATCCATAGTTATAATTGATAAAATTATGATAAAAGTCCTAAATTTGGGTTTGAAAATTGCACCAAAGAGGGATATTAACCAATTGCTGTCTGGAGCTATTTCTTACTATTTGCACACGCATGATAAAACATACATTTTTGTCTAGAAAACAGCTTAAAACTGCCAAACAATTATATATTTTCTTAAAGCAGAGGTCCTGTAGAACTAACAAATGCTAGTTGCAAGTTTTCAATGTTTTATGTTGCACAGTATTTGCGCAAATGTTTATCAAACAAGTATTTTTAGGATAAAATACACTAAAATGAAATTTAATGCACAGAAACAGAATATAATATCCAATTTTTTGGTAAAATATAAAAGATGGGGTCACGTTGGGTAAATAGATACCAAACATGTCAAGCCTTAAAATTCTGTTCGCCTGAGAAGCCGCAAAAAATTACAATACCCACATTTTCACGTTGGGGACACTTTGAAAGTTTTTACCGCTCATCAGAAAACTACATTGCCTAAAATTCTCCACAGGTGATGCTTTAAAGCCTGTACAGGTCATCAGTTTAGAGGTAACAGTGATCTATGGCCCTTGAATATGCGCTCTCATGCTGGCGTACATGGCAATACCTAAAGCACATAATCACAATGCACACAAGCTCTCATGTTATGTTGACCCTAGCAGATCCCAGCTGATGTTCATATGTATTTTTAT